TAGGCCATACGGGGCAAATAATAAAAAACCTGAGGTCGTAAATTTTACGACTAAGGCATCAATTGCTCGTAAAACTGTCCACTAAAAGGCTTAGAGGCTATAGACGCCCAAATTTATGACAGCATAATTGGATCATAGAAACAAAACGTGTATAAAAGGCAATATTCCATTTTTTTGGCAAGGGGGGGTTAAAAATAACTTGAAATACACATGTTCTTTGAGGGTGAGCTGGGAAAAAAAAACGCTCCAGAAGAGAAGGAGGAAAGATTTTTTTTCCCCCCTTCGCCTTCACAGGGCTGAGAAGGAGGAAAAAATGGATAATTTCCATCTCACCCCTGAGCCCCGCAAAGATTTTGCCCTTCTTTGTACACTTCTTTATTGTCCGAGAGGAAACAGGTTCACTTCTGGCTCATCTCCATGTGTTTGATCTGAGCTTTAGGAAGGAATTGATGGGATGAAGGTGTTGGAAATTGAGAATTTTAAGCTCCTTCACTCCCTGCGTGGCTACAGCCCCGAGAAACTTCTGTATATTCGAGATTTGTAACGGCTTAAATGAAACCCTAATAAAAACCGCAAATCCATCCCGAATTCTTTGGCTTTTCGTGTTTTTTTTTTTTTTTTGTTGTTTTTTTTTTTTTTTTTTTTTTTTTGGTTTTTTTTTTTCCTTTTTTTTTTTTTTTTTTGCTTTTAATTTATTCTTTTTTCCCTTAGAAACCGATGGGAAACGCTCCCGAACCAGCTACACCCGATATCAAACTCTGGAACTAGAGAAAGAATTTCATTTTAATAGATACCTGACCCGGCGAAGGCGCATTGAAATCGCCAACAATCTCTGCCTGAACGAGAGACAAATCAAAATCTGGTTTCAAAACCGGAGGATGAAGTGGAAGAAAGATTCCAAGTTGAAAAGCAAAGATGCTCTTTAGGTGGGATCGCAGGAAATGTGGGAAGATTTCCCCCTTGGGTTTTTATTTTTGCGTTTTTTTTTTAATTATAACTAATATTATTGCGTTGGAAGTTGTCTTTTCCATCACTTCTGGTGGAAGAGATCTTGAGGAAACTTTGAATTTTGGGGTGGGAAGGGAGGGAATTGCTGGATGGACTTTGGTCCTTAACCTCACAAATCCCTCAGACAAAGGAAATCTCTTCTTAGTATGCAAAAAAAAGGGAGGAAAAAAACTCAACAAAACCAACAATTCCGCTGATGCTTCGGGCGGAAATTTACTGTCTCGCTCCTTAGGTTATTCCGAAATGGTTGAACCTTAAGGGAAAAAACCCCAAAAGGGGAAAAAAATTGGGCAAAAAGGCTTAAAAAAAGGCTCAACGTGACTGGATCGAGTCTTGCCAACTCGGCAAAACGCGAGATTCCCAAGGAAAATGGCAAAAAAACCTGATGGAGAAGGGGGAAAGAAGGAAAATAAAGTGGAAATGAAAGCTCAAAACCATCAAATTTGGGGAAGTCGCAGTTCCTCGTTCTGGTCCTGAAGGGAGAAGGGAATTGCTGAGTTGCTTTGCTGGGAATCCTCCAGGAAAGATGCTCAAGCCTAAAGGAAAATCTTCCTCCCTGGGGCTCAGCATCCCTAAAATATCCCTAAATCCCCACGAGGGGGTCGGGAAAGGCCCTGAGTGTGTTGGTGTGTTTTTCTGGGACTCGTTGGCATCACTTCGTGATCGTTTGCATCGAAAGGAAACGCAAAGACTTGGGGAGGGAGGAAAAAGAAAGGGATGGACATCCTTTTTTTTTTTTTGTTTTTTTTGGGGTTTTTTTTGCGTTAATCCTCCGAAATCTGCGGGCAGGAAAGTGCAGCTTGGGATGGGGGGAGGGATAAATAACCTCTGGATTTGCTATTCTTGTGTATTTATTTGTCGCGTCATGAACTGTGGATTTGCTAAATGCTAAAATATATCTATTAAAGGCAGCCAAGGTGAAGCCCAATTTGTATTTCTCTCTCTCTAAATTCGGGCCAGGGCAGGAATTTCTTCCTTTTCAATCTCTCTCAGCGACATCCTCGGGTTATTTCTTAGTTGTTTCATCTGCCAAAAGGGTGATGAAACTTCTGTTTTGTCAGATGGAATAAACAATGAAAAGAAGGTAAAAGTTGGAGGATATTTCTGTGCTCTTTCCCCGTCTCGGAGCAATTTCTGCTCCTTCTACTTTGGCGATTTCTTGATTGATTTTGTATCTCCTGTTCTTTATTCACTGATAAAACAGGTTGAGGAGGGAGCAAAGGATAGTTTAGCTTAGAGCATCCTTCTCCCACCCCCTGGAAAAGGTATGTGCTGCTTTTCTTATTGCCCAGAGTATGGAAAAAGAGGAGGAGGTAAAAAAAAAAGTGTTTTTTTTTTTTTTAAATTTGCTGCTGAAGTGTTAGCTGGGCCCTGAGGAAGGTGAGCTGCTCCCTGTGCCAGCTCGGACTTTGAAATTTTTATTTCTCTCAGGCTCCTCATTCCAGGCTGATGTCCTCGCCTGGCAGATGGCATTTTAATAGGAATATGGGATTAAAATTACCTTCTCTCTCTCTCTGTTTCTCTCTCCTCCCCCCTCCTCTCTCCCCAATGTATACTCGGGAAAAAAACTGCTTTTACCCCCCAAAAAAAATCTCACAGCCGTCGCCTCTTGCTGCAGGTTGGACGCTGGAAGGAGATCCCAGTGCCTAACTGGAGGTGACTGGGATGGGGATTGGGATCCGGGAGGGGTTTGCTGGGGGAGGTGGAAGCTCTACTGGCTCCAGGGGAGGTTGAGAAGGAAGGGAAGGGATTGCATTTCCCTCTTGGGGTTTCTTATCCATCGCTGGGAAGAAAAATAACTCTTATTTTCTGGCTGGGCCTAAGGTGGAACACATGGGGCTGCTCGTGGTGTGGAAAAGGTTGTGTGTCCATCCATCCATCCATCCATCCATCCATCCATCCATCCATCCATCCTGGAGGTCAACACAGCTCCAGATGGATCTTCCAACCCCTTCCAACCATATGGCAAAGCCTCAGGAGCTGCAAACACCTTTCACTCAGGGTGGTTTGTTTTTTTTTAATTTTTGCCCCACTTGTTTTCCCCCTAGGTGTGTGCAGCTCATTTTTTCCTTACTCCATAATCCAGACTTTGGATTTGCATAAGGCACATCCTAAAATTCCCAGCCCAGTTGGATCCTCACCAGACACACATACTCAGGGCGACTCCTCCAGGGTCATTCCAGTTATTTCCAGGCACAAACAAAGTGCTGGGAAAAGCCACTAAAACTCCATAAAACTTTATAGGATTTCCTTTACACAAGGGAAAACAAGAGAACAATTTCCTGAACCTGCAAAACAAAAGTTAACTCCTCCAGCAACTTCAGGCTGCCTTGAGAGGGGCAATTAGCCCTTGGGGCGACTCTTCCCCCTCCTCCTCCTCCTCCTCCTCCTCCTCCTCCGAAGGTTTTGCTTTGAGTTTTTAGGATGTTCTTTGCTGCTTGTTCCTCGTGGCTTGATATCCGGATTATTTGACGAGTTGGGAGATGGTTTCATTTTATTGGCGTTTAGCACTAGGCGGATTAAAATCCTCTTTTATTCGCCTTTGATATGGTTTTTTTTTGGATTTTTTTTTTTGTTTTTTTTTGTTTTTTGCTGGCGTCTCGCCTGTCATTTTGCCGTCGCATTGGGGTGAAATACTGCCAAGTCAAACCTCCAATATTTATCTGCTGTTTCTCTCCAAGGGATTCCCTCACTCGTGGGGACAGGGAGGGCTCGGGAGTGATTCCAATTATCTCTTTTTTACCGTTGTTTTTTTTTTTTCCCCCCTGTTTTTATTCTTTCCCCATGCTGTGTAAATCTATTGACTGGTTATTCAGGCACAAAACCCTCTTGGCGTGTACTGGTAATTGCTCGTTATTCCGTTCAATTTTCTCTTAAGCAACATCTTCCCCTTTCTCTCTCACTGGGCTTATTGCGGCGTCTCTGGGTTATTATTTCTTAGACTGAATTAATTCATTTCGAGCTCTCACAACACCTTTTTCCTCTCCTTTTTTTTTCCTTTTTTTTTTTTTTTTCCTTTTTTTTTTTTTTCCTCTCAGACTGGCAGCTCTGCTTGGTTAAGGCAAGGGTTAACCAGCTTCTAGACCACGCGTGTTTTCCCTACCACAGCAGGAGAAACCCTCAAAAAAACCCTCAAAAAATCCCATTTTAACCATCCAACTTTCTCCTCTCCACCCTGCCGAGAGGAGTGAGGCTACTTATGATTAATTATCGGCTGCTCCTGCCCCGCGAGGGAGGGAGAGGAGGGTCAGGGGGATCTCTGTACCCCTCACCCCTCTCTTTAAGGGGCATTTTGCTGGTGGGTGGTGGGTGGATGTTGTTGCTGCTGCTGTCTGGAAGAGATTTGCCTCTTTCTTTCCCCTCTCAATCCCTTCCCAAAGCCTCCAGAAGGAAATAGAAAAGGACTTACCTTGCCGTGTCAACCCCGTGAGAACTTAAAATGGCCCAAAACCAACCACCAAACTAAAGTTCCTGAATTTTTTTTTCTTTTTTTTTTTTTTTTTTTAAGCTAGATCTCTTAATCCAAGACGATTTTTGCTTTGTCTCCAAAACCAAACAACAACCCCCTCCCCAAAAAATAAAACCAAAAAACAAACCCCCCAAAAAAAAGCAAAGCTCTTTTAGTTTCACAGCTAACATTAGCAGAAAATACTCCATGGCTTCTATGCGAATTTTAGTAGTTTAAAACTTTTGAAGGTTATTTATGTGGATGGCCCTAAGCAAAAGCCCTGAATGGCTCTCAGGGAGCACGTGATGTCATTAAACTAAGTTTTATGGTTTGGGGGAGCTGACAAACCCACAATATATTTACATCATATATAATCTTAACTGTCCACCATCGCAGCTGCTAGAGCTGTTTAACGCTGGGACAAGAGGGACAAGGAGCTCAGTGAGGAGCTCGGCGACTGCAGCTCTCCCGAATCAGCTTCTCCCCGACCACCCCAGTAAGTTTTTTTTTCCTTCCTCCCTCTCTTTTTTTTTTTTTCCCCCCAATTCGCACTTCCTTCCATTTGACAACAGCTCGAGGCATCGCGAAACGTTTCCACCTTTCCCCTTTGCGCGTGGGAAAAAAAAAAAAAAAAAAGGTTGATTGGAGATGAGTAGGAATGGGATTTTTTTTTTCCAGGCAAAGAGTTTATCTGGTAATAATTTGTGTGTGTCTTTCCACTCTCTCCTTTCCTCGCCGTCCTTTTCTCAGCCCTAGGGTTGCTGGAGAGGAGATAAGGCCAAAGAGATTCTTTTTTAGCACTGGGGAGGCAAAAAAATCCTTCCCACGATCCCATCAAGCCCTCCAGGCGAAGGATCTGAGCATCCCAAAGGGGTTTGGGGTTTTTTTTTTGGTGGGGTGGGAAGAGAGTTGAGCTTGGCAGGGGGAGAAAGGGAAAGAAGGAAGGAAGGAAAAAAAAAATAGGGAAAAATTGTGTCGGGAAGGGCATGGGCCGAGGTAGGTGTGTGGAGGGAGAGTCTTTCTGTGTGCGACCCCAAGGGTGGGGGGACACCCACTCTGAGGGGTAAGAACAGGGTTCACCTCCTCTGTGCTTCACTGGGGGGGTTGGAGACACGAGTGGGGGATCTTCCCCACCTTGAGGAGTTGAGGAAAACCCTCCTGGGCATCTTGGGGGGGTTGGATATCCCCAAACCCATTGGGCACTTTGAGGGGCAAATTTCCACGAGGAACCTCAGTCGAGGTGGGGACAACTCGTTGGAAGGTCTTGGGGGGACCCCCACGAGAGAGGAATGTCCAACTCGTTGGAAGGTCTTGGGGTGACCCCCACGAGGTGTGGGGTGAGGAATGTCCAACTCGTTGGAAGGTCTTGGGGTGACCCCCACGAGGTGTGGGGTGAGGAATGTCCAACTCGTTGGAAGGTCTTGGGGTGACCCCCACGAGGTGTGGGGTGAGGAATGTCCAACTCGTTGG